CGGGCCTGAGCGCCGTCAGGATGTTGCCCAGCGTAAACTCGGACGGAAAGTAGTACGGCGACGTATCAAATGCGTTGATGCCGTATCGAAGCGCCAGTCGAACCGTGCGGATGGGAAGGTCCGATGCCAGCGTATCCGCATTGTTGTACATGTCCTGCCCGAATACTCCGCCTCCAAACACCAGAGGCGATGCATCCGTGGCCAGATCCCCGCGTCCTCGTGCAAGGTTCTCCGCAGTATTGATGGCATCCTTGCGCCATGGAGCTAGGCCGTGCTTCAGCTCGTCGTGCGCGAGTGATGACAGTGCCGGCTGCTGCGGAAAGTCCGCATTGCTAGGCTCCACCGACGGATACACCGGCATCGTTGACCAGATGAAGTGGGGGCGAAATTGCAAGTGGGCGTTGATGAGAAGAGGCAACACAGAATCCCCACCGACACTGCCTTGACTTTTTAAAGCAACCGTCGTTCTTGCGGCTGCCTCCTGGCAGAGAGATGTCCGAACATTCTCATGCAAAGCAGCCCAAGCTCGACGCTCGTCTTCTCCGCCCCCACGATTGGAAGCCGCGTCGGCGTGGGGAGAATCGCGCTCCAAAAACCTCCACCCGTGCGTCCCGAAAATCACACTGTGCGCAGCGGCTCCTCTCCGCCGAGCTTCGTTCAACAGATCCCTCAAACAACCCCACACACAACCCCACGGCAAGAGCACCGCACACCATAGCGCTTCAGCACGAAAGACACACGTTCGAATCAAGGGCACATTTGGACTTCACTTGCGGGGAACAGGGTCGCCGGCGTCATAGTGTGTCGGTGTCATCGCTGTCGCCGCCGAGCTGCTTCTTTGCCGGGTCCGAGTCGAGCTCCTCGGGACTGGCGACCGGAGCCGCCGCCGACCCCACCTCTTCTGCGAGAGACGAACCGAAATCGGGCTTGCCCGGCGTCTTGCTGCGCGGAGCCACGCCTGCAGCTGGCGTGCCAGGCAGCGGCGTGCTCTTGAAGCGGCTCACTCGCGTGCCCGAAGGCGTCGTGCTGCGACTCACTTCGCCACTGGCGGTTCGTTCCGATGCAAGCGTATTCGTACGGCCGCGCAGCAGACCTTCGCCTACAATTGCCGTGGCAATCGTACCGTCCGGTGCCTGGTGTCGGATCACCACCGGCTTGTTGGCGCGCGGAGCGACGAGCTGCGCATCCGAGCTGGTGCCCAGCACGGCCGCGGGTCCCGGCGACACGGGTCGCGAGCCTGGACGCGAAGAAGGACGCGACCCGGCACCACGCTCCACCGCATCAAAGGGGAATTGCGATGGCTCGCTCGCATCGGCTTCCTGCGTGGCAGGTAGCACGGCTCGCGACTCGGTTACCGGCGTAGCCGGCAATGCGACGGTCTCAGCACCGGGCGTAGCGCCTACAGCCACGTCCTTCTGAGTGACGCTCCGGCCCAGCTTGAAGCGCGGCAAAGGGATCTTGGGGCTGGTGGGAAGTTTGAGCATCGCCCCGGGGAGCTGCATCTCTTCGGCGTCGCTGGGAGCCTCGGTCTGCTTGTTGACCATGTCCTTGTGACCCGGGCTGGCGGGCGGGCTGATCTGCGCAAAGTTCTGCTCCACCTCCGAGTCGTACTCGTCTAAGATCTCTTCGCCAATGAGCTCCTCGAGCACATCCTCGAGCGTGATAATGCCGATGGGCACATCCCTCTGTGCCATCTCGGTGGCCACGGCGCTCGCATCCACGTCGTCGCGCAGAGCCTCGGGAGGTAGGTCGAGCGAGGCTGACTTGTTCTGGTGGCGGTGATGGCGGCGCAGGTGGCGCGACCAGAAGCTCGACTTCTTGATTGCGCTGTCGTCCAGCTGCTTCTCCTCGTCAATGTTGCCTAACGTCTCGATGCGCGCTGCGGTGCCCGAGCGCGCCAGGTTCTGCGTCTTGCGCGGGTCGTTCTGGCTGCCGAGATCGACAAAGGAGCCGGGCGACGAGCGTCGGGTGCGCGAAGAGACGATGGCGAGATGAGAGCGGCCCTCCTGGAAGACGTTGAGCAGGTTGAGCAGCGGCTCGTCGGCAGGCACCGTGGGTAGTGCATTGATGACCATATCGCGCACGGGAGTTTCGTCCTCGGGGTCAAGCAGCACACACTGCTTGACGAGGAGCGCACCGATGATCTTCTTGCGCTTGATCATCGTGGTGGCGGTGGTGTTGGCGGCGGGGTTGGCCTTGTCACCGGCGGGTGCATTGGGCACGGCGAAGTCTTGGGCGCTCGCCTCTTTTTCAGTCGAGACGCTGCCTTCGAGCGTGCGCTGATCATCGATCGAGGTCTTGGTCTGCGAGATGCTGGCCTTCCTGCTCAGGGCGCTGAAGAAGCCGCCGCCGCCGCGGCTGGGCGTCAGGGTGCCGCTTCCACCGCGCGCGCGATTGAGAGGGATCTCGATCTCTTGGTACACGGGGATACGAGAGTGGCCCGAGCTGACAATCTGCTGGAGCGTCTCGTAGCCGAGCTTCGAGTCGATCGAGATCATAAAGACCTGGTCGATGGGCGTCATGGCCTGCTTGACCACCTTCTCCTGCAGGTCGAGCGCGCCGCCGACGATGGTGACGGTGTCGTTGTTGAGGTCACCGCGACCGGCGGTGGCAGCATGCATGTTGACGAGCTCCTTGAGTTCGGATCGCCTGTAGACGATGCCGTGATGCGGGCCGAGCGTCCAGTGCAGGACGCGAGAGACTGGGAAGGCGATCGGCCAGAGGAGAAGCATGACGGCGCGGGTGAGGGGAGCAAGCTTGGCGCCGATGGCGAGGCCGTAGCGAGAGCACACGGACTGCGGGATGAGCTCGGCAAAGATGACGACGAGCACGATACTGACGATGACGGCCTGGACACCGCCGCCGAGGAGCGGGTCGGCGATGATGGGGAGCGTCTCGTTGGTAATCATGTTGGCGATGAGCAGGGTGGTGAGCAGAAGATGGCCGTCCTTGCGGATAGGCATGATCTTTTCTGCGTACCTCTTCTGCTTGGGGGTGCCCTGGAGAGCGAGCACCTGTAGCTGGGTCTCGTCGAGCGACATGTAGCCGAGGGTGAGACCGGCGAAGAGACCGGAGAGGACGACGAGGATGGGGATCAAGATACCGTAGGCGGCCTTCTGACCCTTGGAGAGCTTGGTCTCGCCGCAGGTCTCGCCACTGCCCGACGAGGTGGCGCGCTTCCAGAAGCGGCGGCGCGATGAAGGAGGCTTGGATGCACCTCCTTGGAGCAGAGGCTCGGGGACGACTTGCGAGGCAGCGTCGGATCGGCGCTCAAACGTGAGTCGCTCGTAGAGTTCGTCGAGGAAAGCCTGCGATACGATGCCATCGGGATGGTCCGAGACGATCTGAAGTTTGATCCATTCCGCAGTGGGGCTGGTCGAGGCTTCAGGGAGAAAGGAGTAATCAGCGTCATCATCAGAGGACCGCGCCACGGAGGCGCGGTCCAGATGGGCGCTGGCTATGAATCGATCATCGTGGGATATGGCAGCAGTGACAGGCTGGTCCGGAGAGGTCGGGACGACGTAAGCCTGAGCCGGAAGAACGAAGGAAGCGGCAAGGAAGGCGAAGCTGGCCAGGAGGAGGATAGCTAGGTTGCGCAGGGATCGAGCACGAGCGGGCTTCGATGCCGAAGAGTGGCTGGATTGGCGGCGGTTGTTGGAGCAGGCGGGCCGGATGCTGCTGGTCGGCGATGGGTTTAAGGCTCTACAATCATCCAGGTCAGGGCCATCATTTGCAATGATCTCCATTCGTTGGAAAGCTTGGCGCTGTCCGGGCGTTGAGTCGAGATGGAGGTCCAGCTCGATGTGGTCGGTTGGTTGTGGGTGGTCACGCACGGCGAGGTGAGCGACGACTTGGTAGGTGGGTAGTATTGAATCGGTGTGAGAGAAAAGTCACGACGACTGTTGTTCGATGTCAAAAGTGAGAGTAGGTGAATGAGCGTGCGCTTGTGTATATATTTGGGAGCCGGCGAGCTGCAGGCGCGTGATTGTGCAGAGTGGGACCGGTGTGGAGCCGGTGCTGAGCAGCAGGAATAGCAGCCGCAATGGACGGCGAGACTGGTGTGATGCCACTTGGACCGTGTCAGACCGGATGCGCGCGAAGTGTACATAGGCTATCGCGCCAGGGGTCGACGCCAAATGGCTCTATCAGATTTCAAATCGTGTGATTCGGGCGAGGCGCGAGAAGACTGGACCCACTGCGTCACACGATGGAGTCGATCGAGGCAAAGGGAGCCTGGCGCCGGTCAAATTGGCTGAGCCAACCGCATGTCAGCCAGCTCGCCTTTTCCGAGAGAGGCGAGGCGGTGCGGCGCGGTGCGGCGGTGCCTAAACGGCGGCTCGAACCGCCGCCGGGCTAGCGCGTTCCCTCGGCACTTGGGCCCATTCCCACTCGAGCCCTAACCGAGCGGGGCTTGGCAACAGTCGCCTGCCAGCTGCAGCACTCAACCGATTGTCGTCCGGAGAGCAGCCTGCTGTAGCACGCTACGCCTCTGTCTCATCCGGCCAGTAATTCAATGCTCGATGGTACCAGGAAAGGCAACAGTCTTTTCCAAGCCGGCCAGTGGGATGGCGTCTTGCATGCTGTTGTGCCGCTGCCTGTAGGGTGTGGCTGCAGGCTGTGCTGGCGAGTGGAGGGAATCGTGCGGCGATTTTCTGTTCTAAAAATCACCCTCAGTTTCGAAATGCTGTGCGGGGGCCTGCCTGGCCAAAAATGGGGCCGAGTTCGAGGCTTTCAACGCACGCTGGCTGCGGCGGCCCTGCGGTTCGCCGATGACGACACGCCACGTCTGCAACCCTCGGCTTCTTCGCACTCGCTCACCAGCCTCCCGACGGTCGAGGGTCCTTTCAACCGACCCTGATGGCCGATGTCTACAGTCGAGGTCGCGTGAGCGGTGACTAGTCGACCTCCACCCGCGCATCACAAGCTCAGCGCAGTTCACACCCATTGCAACGAGCAACCACTCTACATTTACTGTATAGTATTGGTCTACAAAGCGGAGGTCACCTTAGCGGCAACGCAGGTTCTTCGTCGGTGTCTGACTCGGTTGCGTTGGGCCCACTTGTGCTCTCGGGTTGGTGAGATTCCACCTTGCGACGGCTTGTGGAGTGTTCTTCAGCGCCGATGCTTGCTGCCCTCTTGGATGCGGTGCTCTCCGCATGGGTTTCTGGACCCGTTTCGCCCTGCGCAAGCACCGTATGGCGCCAGTGCGATTCCAGGTGCGCCTTGAGCTCGGAGAAGAACTTAAACCTTTGGCCCGTGTGATGGCTGGTGAGCGGTCCTTTGAGCAAATTTTCGTACGCCCTTTCGCTTTTTGGCAATGCCTGCCTGCCTTCCGCCACCATCTTGTCCACGTCGTCGAGCCGCTGTGCAAAGTCGACGGTGGGCACAAACGAGAGGTAGTGCTTCTTGTGCTTGAGACGGTCCGAAACGAGGTCCATGGACGTAACGTGCAGATGCAGATGCTCCATGCTAGATACGGCGTGGAAGGCGCGCTCGATGGACCAAGTCACGCCGTGCTTGCGCTGCATGTCATCACGGATGTGGTCCAAGACACGATCACTCGCCTCGCGCACGGCAGCCAGCACCTCGACAACATACGGACTGGTCATGAGAGCCGAGATGTTGCGGAGGTGAGACGCAGGCACGACATTGGACGAAGTGGATCCGAGCGTAAGCTTGCCATTCGCGGCTGAGAGAGCAGGAGGCGCCTGAGCAGGATTGCCCTTGTCGCGACCATTTGCGAGCTTGAAGGGGATGCGAGGGAGCACGAGAAAGTGGTACTGCGCCTTGGCGAACTTGTCGTAGATGGTGATAGTGCGGTCATCGTAGAAGAGCACGCGGTCGTCCGTGGGCAAGGCATTCGGATCCTTGGCAGAAGCGATCCGCACCAGTGCTTGATTCCATGCTTGCGGCATCTTGACTAGCCGTTTTCGATTGCCGAATCGGTCAGCGGAGAATGAAGTCGTCGATATGCGTCTGGCGTGACAGCGAAGCAAAGTCCAGGGCATCCCCTCCTTCCCTTGGACTCAGCGATGCTCTCGGACTGTCCTGCTGAGTGTGAAGTGCCGAGCAGCTCGGATCGCAGGAAGGATTCGGTGTGGACGTAGGTGAGGAAGAAGGGCTAAGAGGAGGAGGCTCTCCGACTCCCAGACCCAGAACCCTGCGCTTCGGCAAGAAATGTCTGCGCAGACCCTTTCTTTTCGGAAAGCGCCGAGCCTCCACACGGGTGGCCAGTCTAACACTTTGAAATTCGTAGCCCTGAGCAGCGAGACCAACACCGCAAGAAAAACACGCTGCACCACAGCAGTCTCGAGCAGTCGGTCGGAACAGGCGCCAAATTGGATTTTTTTTGAGTTGCAGCCGAGTTTCGAGACAAAAAGGCTGGGCGCAGCAGCAGCCGCCGTACATGTAGGAGGTTGCAGCGCGTGCGCAGGAAGCGCATATGCACCTCCTGCGCACGCTCAGCACGCTCAGCACGCCCTTTGGCACGCAACAACGAGACAGAGGGGCGCGCCTGGATCTCCGCTGCCCTTTCAGCCAGCCCGATACCACTCTGACCCTTTCGCCAATCCGCTCGCCATGCACATGCACCTCTCATCACAACCAACCGGATCACCCCTCTGCGACATGCTCTAACTTAGACTGCGCATCGTCTGCCCATCCTGAGCGCCTGCCGATCAGGCCATGCTCGCCTAGATACATCCTCCATCCTCCCATAGACACCGCTCGACAAGGCAACGACACGGCACCCACGGCCGTCGCAGACCTTCGGCACGATGTTCGCCCCCATGTCCAAAGGAGGCTCGGACGATGCCTGGCAGGCTCAGGACGAGGCGGGATCGCTCAAGCCCGGTCGATTTCGTGCCTACCTAGCCGACCAGCTGCTGGCACCAGGCACCACCAACCCCACCCCGGCATCACGCTCCATCCCTTTCCCAAGAGACTCGGGCACGTCACGGCGCAACGCCAAGCCAGCGGCCGACAAAGGCAAGGCGAGGGAGCTCGATCGCGGCTTTATGGCCGGCTTCCTCGATAACCAGCCAGCAGCTCCCTCGACGAGCCTCGGCAAACGCCTTGCAAATGGGTTTGGCTTTCGACAGAACCCGACCCATCCTGACCGACCGGCCGGGCTTCGCTCAGGCCCAGCGCCCACTAAGACCCGCAATCTCGACCCACCGGACGCATACTATCCAAAGTCGATGCGCGATCCAGCAGCACCATCGTCTGGCGCCAAGAGCCCTCTCTCGAGCTCGGGCGAGCTCGGTCCTTCGCCCTTCCACTCGCCACCTCCACGCAGGCGCCGCGTGACCAGCATCCGAGATCGCAATTGGGAGAGGGAACGCGAACGCGAGCGACAGAGGCCGAACCGCAGCTGGCTCAACAACCTCATCCGTCCTCCACGCGAGATCGTCGAGGCGTGGCTCGATAGCTGGTGGAAGCGTTGGTTCGCGCTCGCCGGTTTGCCCAGTCTGGTCGTGTGGATCTGGTGCGCAGTGCCGTTTCCCAAGACCGACCCCTACGATCCCAACCTGCCCTGGTGCAACCCGGGCGAAGATGGAAGCTGGAACGATCCCAGCAATCCTCCCTGGTGCTACCCGCCCAACGCCACTGCATCCAGCTCGGAGATCACATCAAAGATGGCGGTGCCTACGCTACCGACCTTGACAGGGCTTGCGTGGTCAATCACCAACCTGATCGCATCCAGCTTCTCGAAACGCGCCGGCACACCCAGCGACCCCCACCCACCCATCGGCGGCGGTGACCATCTGACGGTGGACGCCAACTTTTGGTTCTTCTTGGTCTTCTACTACGGCATCTATGTGGGCGTGGCGCTCGTCTACATCACGCAGCTCTTTGGGCTGTATCGGCTCAACTGGTGGCCAGCGGCGCTCGGAGCCAAGACGTCATATACGTTCTTCTGGATCGGCAGTCTGGTAGCCGGCTGGATCCTGCACCAGCTCGATCCGCTCGGCACCGAGTCGAGGCATCGGTCTGCGTTCTCCAAAGGCAGGCCGCATGACGAACCAGGCTCGGCTGTGCAGCAGTGTTCGGCGGGCGGTAAGCCGACGATCGACGATGCCGACATTCAGTGGCAGCGCAAGACGCTGTGGGTGGGGCTGGCGTTTGCGACCATGGCCATGCCTGCGCTCGTGTGCTTTGTCGGACTGCGGCGCAGCGGACGCCAGACGTACCGGCACAGTCTGACGGACCACCAGAAGACGTTTCTGGAACGCCAGCTCAACCGGCGCATCCCATCGTCGTACATCCGCTTCCTGTGGTTCATGTCGACCATCGGCCTCTCGCTGTTTGCGCTCATTGCGGGGCAGGGATATGCGTCGGTGTATCTGTCGACGTTGCCGCATACGGGTTTGGACGGTGTGGCGTACGTGTCGTTCTGGACGCTCACGGTCAACGGGCTGGCGCTGGTGTCGCACTGGATCCTGGAAAGCAAAGTGCGCAGTCGGGCGCTGGTGTTCGCCTTCAAGTACTACTACTTCTTGGTCTACTTTATCTTCTACCGCAACCTGTTTGCGAGGCTGCGCTCGTTCGACCAGTTTGCGCTGGTGCAGCTGCTATCGTCGTTCTGGGTCTGCATCTGGTATCCGCTCTCCATGTCGTCGCTGTGCCATCGCGTGGTGCAGTACTTCAACCCTTCGCCGCGCTCGTGGGAGGAGTACGTCGAGAGTGTGGGGCTGGCGTTCTACCTGCGCAACCTGGCGCAGAACACGACGATGCTCGCCTTCCTCGGCTGGGTAAGCATCCTCCACTTTGGCAGCAACCAGCCGCTCTACCCTTTCTTCGCCTACGACAACAAGCACGATCCGTACAACTACCAGCTCACCATGCTCGGCTCGCTCGCCATCTGGGCGTCCGAGCTGGTGTCGTCGTTCGTCGCGCGCCAGATCTGCTATCTGGCCTTTCGGGTCGACGTGACCAACTTGGGCCTCGACGAGATGCGCGAGTTCCCCGAACTGCTGCCCACCATCGGCTGGGGTGCGGTGCATACGCTCATGGACATGCTGCTCTTCCTGATCAAACTCAACTTTCGCTAGACGCATATACCCCTTAGATTCGTAGAAATGTCACGTGCGGCTTTGGTCTCCGATGGTGTCCACGCCACGTCTGTCGGTGGAAGGATGAGATCGGTTTGGGTGGGGACGGTGGGGACGATGGAGCCTCGGGCGGGGCGGAATCAATTTCATCCGCGCCAGCCAGATGCAATTTCGGCTACTGTCGGCCGTTCGTTGACTGCGCGGTATTTAGCCGCGGTTTTCAGGCTAGCCATGCAACGCGCTCGCTCCTGACTCGCAAGACGTAGACTCTGCACATGGTTGTACTTCCAATGGTCGGATCAATTCTTTAAGCTGGATGAGGTCTTGCTGGTCTTGCCCGATGCAGTGCAAGCAAGGCGGTGAGGGAGCGGGTGCGGATCGGCAAGAGGCGGACAAGTGGGGGCCGAAGGGGTAAAAAGGCGGGGCAAAAATTGGATCCGGTCCAAGAGATGCTTCGACTCGCTCCACGCTTCGGACGGAAGACGCGGACGAGATTCGGCGCTTGTGGCCTCCACCCTTTTTGGCAGCCGCTCGGCTTTGTGCGTGGCATCAGCCAATGCGAAGAAGACCGAGGTGAACCCCACATCGGCGCTCGTTTGCGTCGACGGCGGATGCTCGTCCGTCTCTGCCCGAGCCGCCAACTGCCCCTCTCGGAGGTGACTCCTGGCGACGCCTGATATATCCGTTGCGAACCTCGTGCGAATCCTTGCTTTCCTGCCACGACAATCCCCCCAGTCAATCGTCCTTTTCCACTACAAGCTCCTGGCTAGTTTCATCCCCGATGTTGACTGCAAGCCTTCGATCGCGCGCCGCATGTCGGTCTGCGTTTGTCGCCACCACGCTTCCCTCGCGAACATTTGCGTCGTCGGCAACGCGCGCCATCGCATCCTCCAAAGTATACCCTTCCGCCGACGAGGCGGTGAAGGACATCAAGTCCGGCTCTACGCTGCTGTCTGCTGGCTTCGGTCTGTGCGGTACGCCCGAGACGCTGATCGGTGCCATCAGCCGCCACCCGCACATCAAGGACCTCACCGTGGTGTCCAACAACGCCGGCACGGGCGAGTTCGGTCTGGGCAAGCTGCTCAAATCCAAGCAGATCAAGAAGATGATCTCGTCGTTCATCGGTGGCAACAAGTACTTTGAGAACCAGTACCTGACGGGGCAGGTGTCGCTGCAGCTTACGCCGCAGGGAACGCTGGTGGAAAAGTGCCGCGCAGGCGCGTTTGGTATCCCCGCCTTCTACACCCCCACGGGCTACGGCACCGCCGTGCAGACGGGCGATCTCGTCGTCCGATACGAACAGCGCGAAGAGGGTAGCAAGGAGCCTCTCAAGCCGGCGGAGATGGCCAAGCCCAAGGAACAGCGCGAATTCAATGGCCGAAACTACATCCTGGAAGAGGCGATCTACGGAGACGTCGCCATCATCCACGCATGGAAGGTGGACGAGGCAGGTAACGCCGTCTTCCGCTATGCGGCCAACAACTTCAGTGCGCCGTTTGGCAAGAACGCCAAGATGACGATCGTGGAGGCCGAGCAGATTGTGCCCGTGGGCACATTGAATGCCGACGAGATCCATCTGCCCGCCATCTTTGTCGACCGCATCGTAAAGTCGCAGCACGAAAAGCAGATCGAAGTGCACACGGTCTCGGATGCTCCCAAGGCTGCCAAGAGCGAGGGCGCGGATGCAGCCAAGCAGGAGGCACGCGAGCGTCGCATTCGCATCGCCAAACGCGCAGCCAAGGAGGTCAAGGACGGCGACTACATCAACCTCGGCGTGGGAATGCCCTCGCTCGTACCCAACTACCTCCCCCAAGGTGTCAACGTGGTTCTCCACTCCGAAAACGGCATTCTCGGTATGGGTCCCTACCCCAAGACGGCCGAAGTCGACGCCGATATTGTCAATGCCGGTAAGGAGACCGTTACGCTGCTTCCCGGTGCAAGCACTTTCGACTCCTCCGAGAGCTTTGGCATGATCCGTGGTGGCCACATCAACGTCACCATGCTCGGCGCTCTTCAAGTCGGCGCCAACGGCGATCTTGCCAACTACATGATCCCCGGTAAGAAGGTGTCTGGTGTAGGAGGTGCAATGGACCTCGTCTCCAACCCGGCCAACACCAAGGTCGTCGTCGTCTCGGACCATACCGACAAGAACGGTCGCAGCAAGATCGTGGCCGACTGCAAATTGCCCCTCACCGGCTCCAGGTGCGTCTCGCGCATCGTCACCGACCTTTGCGTCTTCGACGTGGACAGGGTCGGCGACAAGGGCCTCACCCTCATCGACCTCCAGGACGGCGTCACCGTTCAGCAGGTCAGGGAAAAGACAGACGCCCCCTTCAACCTCGGCCCAGGCATCAAGGAGTAGACTCCCCCAAAACGCGCCTTTTGTACTTTCACTCTGTTTGCTTTCATCTGAATCACGCATCTCATCTGGTCGGCCCGCTGCGTACCCCGTGCAAGCACGCGCACATTCGTCTAGATACCTCTCTCACACACGTACGCCCGCGTTGCAACGTTCGAGCTGCGACGGGATTGATCGAAGGAAAAGGAACTTGAATTGACAACGTGTGTGGTCGCTCTGGTGGGCGCACCATCTCTGAGGCCAGGCGGAGGAGGGGGGACGGAATCAGCCGACGCGACGCTGCTCTCGAGGTCGTACCGGCACCAAACACGGGCGCGGTCTCGCTGCCAAGCGCGACATCGCTAGCAGGCGAGCCAGCACAGCTCGAGGGCGCGTCGTCTTCGGCCATGCATGCCGCCACACTGGCGCGTCGGCGAGGCGCACAACCGCTGCGGCCGCGGCAGCGCTGGCGCCGTGTCGACGTCGGTGTGGCCGCAACAAGGCGCGAAGGCCCCGCTTCGGTGCACGACGCTGACATCGCGTCCAAGTGTCCGCTGGAAGGGTGGTATGGGGTGAGGAGGTGGCGAGGCTGGGAAGATCGGCGTGCGCCGAATCGGAGATCGTCAAAGGCGTGCGATCGGAACAGAAGTGGAGAGTCGGAGGGTGGAGTGGCTGCGATCAGATGATGCAGGCAACGAGAGGCATTACGTGCACTCGGCAGTCGGCATGGATCGAAAAAAGCAGTGCGAGCGTGCGCAGGGCCGAGCAAGCGGCTTAGAAACCGTGCACCTTGACGTCGGTCTTGGGCGTGATGCCTTCCTGGACGATGAACGAGGCCACCTTCTGGCGCTGGTCTCCCTGAAGCTGGATGACTTGGCCAAGCTCCTCGTCGTCAACAATGGTACCGTTGCATGCGAATTCCTTCTTGAAGGCCTTCAGCAGCTTCTTCTGGTCATACTCTGTGTGTTGCAAAGGCGGGCGAGATGGGGAGGGACAAAGGACAAGGTCAGCAAATGTGTGCGGGCGTTTGAGGCAAGGTGGCGCGATGGTCACGCGCAAGGGTCGACGTGAGCCAGGACGCGGGAATGACGGTGCCGAAGCACGTACCTTTGGGGAGGCCCTGGAGGGTGGTGAGCGTCTTACGACCGTTCCTCTGCTGGATGCGGATGTGGACGTAGTTCTGCGTCTGCTGCTTCTTGGTAGCCTGCGAGGTAGCGTCGGGCTTTGACTCGTCGCCGAGATCGGCGAAGGGATCGTAACTGGAGAGGTTTTGAATATTCATAAGCTGTTTGCGATCGGCGGTGTATCAGGAGCAGGACCTGACGATGAACAAGAGAAACGGAGTACGAAAAGAAACGAGGCTGGGGACGGAGGGAGAGGTGGTGGTGGTCGTGGTTGGTGGTGGTGGCAATACAGCAAGAGTGAAGGCAGATTCAAGTGCACCGAGCCGCGGCGACGAGCGTTCTAACAGATGCGCGCTGCGGTCGAAGGGGCGGGCCCAGGCTTGAATTGCGCAGTCTTGCGTTTTGGCACGGCTGCCCGCTCGGACGACACTGCGCTGAGCAGGCCCGAAAAAGTGGCGCCGTGGATGCGCAGCCAACTGCGGACGCGCTGTGTAGCGCTCTCACCCTGCGAGGTGGCTGCCGAGGGGCTGCGCACCGCACAACGCGCTGAGCCGCGATCGAAGAGCGGGTCCAGCGCCGGAAATTAGTGAGCGACTGTGCTTGCTCAGCCGTGCCTGCGCAAGCAGTGTGTTGCTGTGGCTGCGAGTCCAAGTGAATTCAACACAGCGCGCAGTCGCTAGCGCAGTCGCACTGTCGAGCCGTTGAAAATTTCGACTGCCATCCTTGCATTTCCAATACGCCCGCTCGCCGTGCGTCGGTGGATTTATCGTACGAATCGCATCGCCCCACCCAACCTCGCCCAGTTTGCACAAGCAAGCTTGACCAGGCTGACACAAACTCGGCACAAGCTCCCATCCGCCAGTCTGCATTTGAACAACACGCAAGGTGAGGATGAAAGTATTCGGAGACCGTGGGTGGTGGGGGCTAAAGTACAAACGACCCAAGGCTACATGTGGAACGTTGAAAGCTGCGTCTCGTCAAGAGGGTTGGGCGCGCACCACCATCCGCCAGCGACGGCGAAGGCGACGGCAGCGACCCTGGTATGCGTGTATAATATCAAGAGACCCTATGCTGAGAAATACATATGCCGGAGGGAGGGAGAGGGGAAGAGAGAGAAGAGAGAGATAGAGAGAGGGGAGCAAAGAGACCAAAAAGCGGAAAGGGTATTCCCGGTCGAAAGATAGAGAGAGGGAAAGAGAGAGAGGGAGACGTGACACTGGACCCGAAGTCAGCGGCCAAGGCCCGGAACGGTGACGAGCATAAGCTGTAGCACCATTCATTTGCGCGGCGCGACGGAGGACCTTGGTCGAGTTTGGATAGACAAGTATAGAAAGAAAGTGAGGCCTGCAAGAGGCACGCGAACGACACGGGCAGAGGCGACAGTGATGCAGCGCGGTTTGGCGCTGCTATGTTCACATGTGACCTCCGCCCATGCTGTTCATCATATTGTTCTGGTTCGCATGCGGGTTCTCGTCAAACGAGCCGCGCGCTGCAAATCCGTTGGGCGACGACGCCATCATGCCCTGCATGTTGATGCCCGGCGGCATGGAACCCGGCGGCGCCATCTGGATCCCCTGCATCTGCCCGCTCTCGGCGCGGTTGAAGGGATGCGGGTGGCCGTGCGCCATGCCGTGTCCGTGCGGCATCATGTGGTTGCCCATGCCGACGTTCATACCGACGCCGCCAGGCACACCGCCCGCAGGCGGCATTCCACCTCCCTGCACCATCATGGCGCCGGCGGCCACGTTGGGATCGCCGCCTTTGCGCTTGATCTTCTTGGCCCAGCGCAGACCGCACGCATTGCACAGCGTCTTGGGGCCCAGCGGACCCTTGCGCCACTCGGGCGAGTCGACACGCCCGCAGTCCGTGCACACATGATCGCCGTCGTCCTGCTTGGGCTTCTTCTTGCGTCGTGCTTCGTCGGCGGCGTTTGCAGCCCCGTCCGCACCGCCCATGCCAGCGACGCCCTGACTGGCGCCGCCATCCTCGTCCGACTCGTCGCCCGCCGAAACGCCGAGTCCAGCAAGCACCTCGTCCCGCGCGCTGTTGGTGCGCATCACCGGACTCGTCGGATGCGATGCGATCGAGTTCTGGCGCGAGGCCTCGCCGGGACGCGGTCCGGATTGCGGCGGCAGGATGCAGCCGTCGGGACCGATGGCGGCGCCGCCAAACATGGGGTTGACCGCATGCGCCCATCCTCCCGTGGAATCGCTCTCGAGCTCCTGCTTTAACAGATCGGGGTGGTAGGCGGCCGCGAAGGAATCGCGGTCGTGGTCGTGATCCGGGCCGGTGAGGTCCATGTCGGCGATCAGCAGACGCAGCTTCTCGTTCTCGAGCTTGAGTTCGAGGAACGAGTCGAGCATGCTTGTATTCTTGCTCGGATACGGTCGGGCCGAGCAGAAGAAGCACTGCAGCTGCGAGCGTGACGAGCTGGTGGCATCGCTTGTGGGCGTCTGCAGCGTCTGCTCCTGGCTCAGCGGATGCGCGCCCGTCTTGGAGCTGACCGACAGGGTGGGAGCCATCTTCTCGGACTTGACCGCGACAGAGCCTGCCTTGGAGTCGGCGTCGGCGCCGTTGCTGGCGACGACCTTGTCATTGTCTGCTCCTGCTTCGTCCTGCTCCTGCGGCGCATCGGCGCCACCCTTGTCGCTGGTCGCAGCGATGGGCTCGGGCGGGAAGTACGGGTGGCCGGTCGCCTCAAAGACAATGTAGTCTCCGTCGCGCGTAAAGGCCTCGGCGTGCTCGACCTCGCTTCGACGCTCGTTGCCGCGCTCCTTCTCCTCGCCCGTGTCGCCAGCGGAGGACTCGTTGTCGTTGGTGCCCTTTTCGCCCTTCTTGGAGCGGTTCGCGCTGGTCTTGGTCTTGAAGCGGTAGTAGGTGAGCAGCTCGCCCTTGCTGCATCGCATCCGGTCGATCTCGCGCTCCACCGAGGCGACGTCCTGCGGATGCACAAACTCGGTGAGTTTGCGGCCTTTGAGTTCCTCGCTCTTCCAGCCTGTCAAACCTTGCACACTGGGGCTCGCAAAGAGGATGGTGCCCTCCGGGTCCAAGACGTGAACAAAGTCGAGAAGCTCTTCGACGACGCGGCCGGTCCAGCCTTTACGTTTTGTAAAGTCGGTGGCTGCCGACGAGCCGCTGGCGCTCACATCGACGCCGCGCAGGATCTGGCTGCCGAGGCCCGGAGGGTGACTGGCAGCATGGCCTCCCATGGCGGCGAGCGCCTGCGATCCGTTGAAAGAATGGCTGTGCTGCTGGCCGGCTGGATATAAAGAGGGCGGTTGTGGGTAGCCAAGGCCTGCTGCGTAGGGATCCTGGAGACCCGAGCCGAGCTCGATGCTGCTAAACGATCGCTGTCCAAAACCCGGCGGGCCGACCGCTTCGGAACCGCTGCGTGACCTGCGGTGGCGGAAGGGCGGGCGTGCAAAGTGGGCTGGCTGTCCATCGGGAGCGTGGAGCTGGGCAGGAGTGGATCCGATGCTGTTGATGCCGCTCATGCTGGAGCCGCTGTCGTTGTGTAGGAGGACGGGCTTGTTGCCGTTCTGAGTCTGGTTGGGTTGAATGGGCGCCGCTGTGAAGGTCATGCGCCTGCGCTTGCCTTGGGCTGAATCCTCGCTGCTGTTGGAGCTGGGACCGTCGGGCTCGTAGCCGTTGGCGCTGGCACGGAAATCGGCATTGGAAGGCGCGCGCATCGACATGTTGGCGTGTGCTCCGGCGCCATTCTGCATGTAGTCGGGCATTGCATTGGGCATGCCAGTCCAGACGCCGTCGGCGGATGCACCGACCAGCGAAGCGTCGCCATTGTTCTTTTGCGACTGACGTCTGGATGCGGGAGCGGATGCAGAGCCGTTGAAGCCGAGATGACCGTAGGCGGCAGCGGCGGCGGCGGATGCGGCGGGATCCATGCCGTTGGGCACCATAGACTGAACGAAGCGTTGCGAGGCTTCGGCATCCATCTGTCGATTTTGGAATGCATGCTGTGCCATCATCATCTGGGATTGTTGCTGCTGAAAGTTATGCGCGGCGGCGGATGGATTGAAGCCGGCAAAGGCCTGGTTGGCCATGTCGTTGCGCGAGCCATTCTGGAACATGTTCTGCATGGCCTCTTGGCCCATGTTGCCATCGCCGTTGAAAAAAGACGGATTGAAGTTCTGTTGCTGGTCCATGGGTTGACCGGACCAGTTCTGGCCCTGCATGATTGACGAAGGGGGAGATTTGGGAGTCGAGCTGTGAAAGGGAGGCGAGTTGTCCGAGTCACGGGTTGGGAAGTGTCGGTTGCTGAAGAGAATGGGCGAGATCAGGTATCAACACGGCGACGACATAAGATGGACAGTGCGGAAGGTAATGATGGGCGAATGGACCGAACAAGTGTTGCCTTTGGTGACGTCGAGTCAGAATATCCCAGAGACCGTCTTCGAAGCTAGTACGAAGCGGAAGGGCTGACGAAGCGATTGGAAGGCAACCTCGGAAGAAGCGCCAGACGTGCAATCAAAAGGCAAGAGTCGGAACAGTCGGTTGAGGCGCGGCCCGGTGTCTTGTGTGGCACCGAACGCTAGTGGCTATGGCAAAGAGAATCTCTGCCAGTGCTTATCACGGTTGTTGTGATGGGCGGATGATGGAAGGAAGTGTGTCCGGACGAACGGAGCCGAACGGAGCCGAACGGAGAGACACGTGCAGCTGATGCCTTGGTGGTGGTGGAGAGGCGCTGAAGGATGGATGAAGGATGGCGGAAGCGGATATGAAGTGCCGGGAACAAGGTGGAGCGGCGGAAGGATGGTGATGACGATGGCGAGGCAGCTCGAGGTTGGGCTCGAGGCGCGAGGGTTCACTCGGGGCGCGCGGCGGGCGGATGCAGATACGACGAGCGCGCGAGCCAAGTGGGGAGCGCTGCGAAAAATACGAGGCGGCCGTGGGTGTGCTGCTGCTGGTGCTCTCTGGCTGGAACGGGCCATCTGACTTTCAACGAGGCTGGCCAGGCGGAGAGGGCCGCTCCATCAGCTCTGTGGATGCTCAGTTATGCTTTTTCTTTTCGTTTTTGCTTTCTCGCTTTTTGTCTTTCTGGCTCTGGCTTGCTTGTTCGGTGGCGGGACGAGCTTTGAGCTTGAGCACGAGCTGGGGCTGGCCAGGGCGAGGGCGAAGGAGAGGTGTAATTTCGCCACCACAGCTCTGGCGCGGGCGCGGACGGCAAGACGGATCCACCGACACTGGCTGGCTGGCGGGCTGGCTGGCTGGCGGAGTGCGGTAGAAGTGCCAACCGGGTCTTGAGCCGTGGCGCCCGCTGCGAACTTGAGAAAAATCACCCTCTTCGTCGCTCTGCGTCGGTGTCCACACTAAAAATCTTTGGCTCCTCCGACGCTCAACAACACCCGGCAGAGCGGGCAGTTCAACGCACTGACCAGATTCCCCGACTGCTTGCTCGCTCCTTGGACCGCAGCGGCAGCCCACCAAGAGCTCCTCCAAACGCCGTTCGCGTCCGCAAGTCATTCTGACCACGCCAACGGTACCGCTCTGCAAGGCCAACACCAATCGTGGATGAAACCGACGATGAAGGAGCAGGGGCCGCAAAATAGAGACATGGGGCGGCTCTGCGGAAGCAGAGAAGCAGCATGTGCAGCATGTGCAGCCAGCAGCACGGGCGAGGTGGGAGCGGCGTCGCACCGGTACAATTGTTTGCGAGTGGGCGGAATGCGAGGGGCGATGCGTCAGGTGGCGAAAGAACTTGGAGGCCAAAAGGGTCGCGCTACCGCAAGCGAGCCAAGCATCCACGGAACGCTGCCGCGTCAGCCCCAGGGTGCATCTCAGGGTCCTCCTCCCGTGGGTCCACCAACACGCGTCAGGGCAATTCCAGCTCGGGGTCTCGGTGTTTGCAAGACCCAGCTGGCGGCCCTCGAAATTGCGAGCAGAGGCAGATTATTTGATATAAATAATGTTCAAATCAGCACAACACGACGACGCATTGGCTTGATCCTGCTCTGGCACAAATCTTCGACAGCGCTCGAATACGAGCAAACATGGCCGTCGTGGGCGAAGAAAGCTGCCAAGCTCGTGGATGAGTCGAGCCGGCTTCGGTCACCACCGCTGATTTGCTGTCGATAGGCTATCATCGGAAGAGCATAAGCTTGCTTTCAGGAACTTCACGAGCCGCAAGCTATCCGAGGAGCCAACAGTGGAGTCGGAGTCGTCTCGGCAATCAACGGCATCTGGGGCTCGCAGCTCGGTACGCTAGGATGAGGGATGAGTCGCCGTGGCCGGTGAGCTCGCACCTCGAACGTCGACAGCACCGAGCGCAAGGATGGCGTTGATGACGCAACGACGCGCTCGGAGCTTAACGCTCGATTTGAGCACATGCTCGTGCCTTGACCGCTCGGCTGCAGCTTGCAGAGCACAATAGAGTAGTAGCTTTCGCAGCGGACAATGACGTAACGGCACCGGTGCTACCTACAGCATATCAACTAGTTGCCAGCCTTGACAGCATCATCTTGAGGCTGCTGTGCAGGGCTGTGGCTGTAAATCGTTCCGGGACACGCTGCACTGAACAGCACTGCACTCCCTTCCCGTGCAAAAAGCTGCTGGTCCTGTCAATTCCGATTTTCGCTGGACCCTTGGGTCTAGCAACGCCACAGCGGCGTGTGCACGCGTCAGTTTTTGGTTTTTCGCCCACTTCCGGCGCCGCCAAGAGCCATGTGAAATTCCAGCTTCTCACTGGACCCGGGCATTTCATCCGAGACACACGTTTTGCCACTACCGTGCAGGGGTGCAAGCCTCGGCTTGAATATTGCAGCCAGCTCGGGCACAACGAGTTTGACTCTGCAGAACGGGAAGCCAGTCTCGTGTCAGCACAAAGCGTCGGACTTGAGATAACCTTTTGAGCTTCGACTTCCGAGCTTCGACTTCCGAGCGTGGGCCCACAAGCTAAGGTGCAGCTCGTACCGTCGCTCCTTAGCAAAGCGCTCAAGCATTTCAGACTCCGTTACGTCTCCGCTGCAGGACACCGGCGAGCGCATGGTCGGACTCCGCCTCGGCTTGCTCGGTCCGCTTCACCAAACCTGCCTGTGAGGACAGAGAACAGGATTCTTGCGAAAAAAAAAAATTGAAAATCTTGGAAAAGCGGCAACAGACGGCCTCTCAGTTTGGCATCCGCGCCATCCGGCAACTCGCTTCCAACACCGCAGCGCATGGAGCAGCATACAGCACCCCGAACTCACACAGACGCACCTCACGATCGTGCGCTGCGTCCCATGCCCATTGCCGTCCATTTCCGTCTGCGACTACAGCCTGCCAATCACATCGTCAGGGCCAAGATCAAACATCCGCTATCCGAGTTCTTCTCGTTCATTTGCAAAGGTCTAACACAGGGCCCACTTGGCTATCGAACAATCCACGCCACACGGACAGGTAGAGCGTTCAATGCGCTCCCACGCGGCAGCTCTGGCGACAGCTTGGATCTCTTCTACGCTACAGACGCACACTGCTGATGCGCTTCTGATGTCAATCTGTCTGATTGCGACTCTAGTGGCATGGAGGTTCCAGACGTGTGGCTCGTGGATGGAAAGGGGGCTCAAGCAGCGACACCGCTGTGCGTTGCATCTCCGTCATCATCGTCGTCGTCGTCTTCATCGTCCGTTGCTGCGGCTGCATCGCCAAGAACGTGTCCCTCGACAATGAGGCTGGCGCCCTGAGCGAGTCCTTCCACATCCCGCAGCTTTGAGGCGCCCGCATCGCCAAACTCGATCCGTTTGCGCGGATAGCCAGTGACCAGACTGAAGCGGTAGGTGTGCTCGTACCCCTCTGGCTTTCGCACCTCGCCTTCAACCTCGGAAGCTTCCAACGCAACCGAGGCCGACTCTACGTACGCAAAGACAGCCTCGACGGGGTCGAGTGGCGAAAAGCGTCGCGCCAGCGTCTTGCCACTTGGCAGTCGGAAGCTGAAGCGCACCGCCTCGTGCGTCGCGCCCGGCTCTTGTGGAATGAGATTGTTGGATGCCCACCTCCGCCAGATCTGCTGTCGGCGCTGCAGCTCTTCCTTCTGCTCCTGCTCCTCGCGACGCCGTTGCGCCTCGACGGCCTTTCGACGTTCCTCTTCGCGTCGCTGCGCGATGCGCTCGGCATCCCGTCGACTCGCCTCCTGATAGGCGCGATCCTGCTCGGCACGCAGCTCGCGCTCCATTTCGCGCCGACGTCGCTCGGCACGCAATCGATCCATGTACACGCGCGTACGCGGTAGAAGCACGTCGGAGATATGCGATGCAATCGACGCGGCCGAAGTAGCAGACGACGGCGATCCTTCAAGTCGAGACAGTACAGCCGGCCTCGGAGACGAGCCCGACGACGCTGCTGCTGCTCGGCTCGATTGACGCGGTGGCTGCAGTGCGATGAAAGCGATAAACGGGTAGGTGCTCGCCTGCAGCGTCCGTGCTACTGTATACGCTTCGCGCTCGCGAACATCGCCGCCCCACACGATAAAATCGTCCCGAGAGAGCAGCTCCACAAGCTCGTTGTCCGTGAGCGTGTTCTGCTTGAAGCGGTCCACGTCGCCGTGCTCGCGGCTCACCAGCACGATGGCGAGGATCTTGATCTGCTCCTTGGCCTGGCGCAGAGCGTCCTTGTAGCTGCCGATGAAGAACGGAGGAAGCCGCTTGAGCACCGACAACCGCGTATCGAAGCCTTCTGCTTGAGGGTCTTGGCCGGCTGATGAGCCGGAACGAGAGGTAGTCCCTCCCGTCTCCATCTCGAGTTCTCGCACAAAGCGCTCCGCAGAAGTGCGCGGATCTGAAGCCGAAGATCCCTGACTGCCGCCACCATTTCCAAAAAGCGAGGGCAACAGCGAGCGAAGGCGAGGCACTCGGGCCAGGAAGAGAAGCAGGCTAGACGCGACAGAGAACGGCAACGTCAACGCGGTCCAGATCATCTGTGCCACGCTTGACGGTCCATTGTTATCACCGGGTCCAGGGTAGCGTCGCAGTCCAGCACCACCGGCAAGACCACCCAAACTACCAGCTCGGCCGTTGTATGATCGTCTTGATGCGTCGATCGGAGGCTGTTCAAAGTCCATCGATCCACGGACTTGAGGATCCTGGGCAAACGATCGGGCGATCGTCTCGTCGTCGGCGCCACTTCGCCTTCGCTCGGCGGTGTTGTCCTCTTCCACCAGCCGTGCGGCGCGAGTGACGTCCCAGCCTTCGACTTCGAGCAGCGTTGCGAGCATATCGTCGTCCGGCACACCGGCTCCGGAGCCTTGAAGCATGGAGCGGAGGCTCGCGATCGCATCCTGCTGGCTGCCAGAGCGCTGCGTCGACATGGTTGATGGTCACCTAGACGGATGCGGGTCCGCAGCCCTTGCCTCTGAAAATGAGCTCCGCAATAGGAACGGCGAGGAGGCTGAAGGGTCCGTGGCAGGTGCGTTGCGTGGTGCTGAAGAAGCAAGGCGTGATTTCGTGGACTGAATGCATTCACGGGCGGCGGAGCGCCTGTGTCTGTGCGCAGCCTCAGAAATCCTCCACCTCGTCCCCGGGACTTCCCTGCCGCATGGACCTAACATGACTTGAATTTGTGAAAAGCTCGGAACTCGGCAGAGACGATCTACCTCTGATGGACTTGTCTTTTTTTTTTCTTCCTCAGCTAGCTGCCTGGCTGGGACTGGCAGCCCAAAGTAAAATTTCGTCTGGCTAGTCAAGGACCGCTGAAGACTCGCAAGACTCGCAACCCCTTCGCCAACCACCATCACTGCCTCCTCTCTCCTTTGATCCGGCTTTTCGCATTTCGACGAGAGAATCGGATTATCCGCTACCTCTCTCAGCCGCTTTCACCGGCATCGGCAGCAGGCGCGAGACGGCTCATACGAGCGCCAGCGTCTTCACGATGAAGTCGTCGTTCAAGTTCTCCAACTTGTGCGGCACCGTCTACCAGGGCGGCAATGTCGTGTTCTCGGCCGACGGCGACTCGATCTACTCGCCCGTCGGCAACCGACTGTCGATCTTCAACCTGGTTCGCAACACCTCGACTACGCTGCCGTTCGAGACAAGAAAGCCGATCGCCAGGATCGCGCTCTCACCCGCCAACAAGGCGATCGTCCTCGTCGCCGACGAGGATGGACGGGCGCTCTTGATCAACACCGTCAAGCGGTCATTGCTGGCACACATGAACTTCCAGCGACCTCTCCGCGATGCCAAGTTCAGCAACGACGGCAAGTTCCTTGCGGTGACGTTCGGCAACCAGATCAAGGTGTGGAAGACACCGTCGCATCTGGCGCGCGAATTTGCACCCTTTGTGCTTCACCGCACGTACACCGGTCATTTCGACGACGTGCTCAGCATCCGATGGACCCAAAACAGCAGGTAAGTCGCTCATACAGCCGTCCTGAGCCCGAGGACGATAGGATCCACCGATCGACGATGCTACCTGCTTGCCGACGTCCACCAGCGAATGTCCGAGGATGCTTCCAAAAAACTAAACTGATTTAATGAGTCCGCTGAACAATAGCGGAGAACTACGCACATGTCTGAGGACCACTGGTGGACCGCAAGCTATTCGTCGCGATTCGATCGGGACCTTCGATTCTTGTGGCTCAGGCTCACCACTGCTCGCACACACAGAAAGCTGACCTCTGATGCTTGCGTGCTGTAACAGATTCTTCATCACTACCTCTAAGGACATGACCGCGCGTCTGTACTCGCTCGACCAGGTGGAAGGATTCCGCCCCAAGACGTTCACTGGCCACCGCGATGCTGTCATCGGCGCCTACTTCTCCAAGGACGAAAAGACGATCTACACGGTGTCTCGCGACGGCGCCTGCTTCACCTGGCAGGGAAAGCAGAGCGAGGACGAGAACGACGACATGCGCGAAGACGACGAAGAGGCCTGGAACCCGGCCGAGGGCACCAAGGACGGCAGCTCGTCCAAGCAGGCGGACAACGCCGTCGGGCTTACGCGATGGGGCATCGCCGCCAAGCACTACTTTATGCAGACGGGCACCAAGACCGTATGCGCCGACTTCCACGCACACAGCTCGCTGCTGGTCGTTGGATTCTCCAACGGCATCTTTGGGCTGTGGGAGATGCCGGACTTCAACCCTGTCCACCAGCTGAGCATCAGCCAGGAGAAGATCACGAGCGTTGCGATCAACGCGAGCGGCGAGTGGCTGGCGTTTGGCGCGCACCGGCTCGGACAGCTGCTGGTGTGGGAGTGGGCGAGCGAGTCGTACATCCTCAAGCAGCAGGGCCACTACTACGACATGAACACGATCGGCTTTGCCTCGGACGGTGCCGTGGCAGCCACGGGCGGTGACGACGGCAAGGTCAAGCTGTGGAACACGGCCAGTGGATTCTGCACGGCGACGTTTTCCGAACACTCGGCGTCGGTCTCGTGCATCGAGTTCGCCAAGCAGGGCCAGGTGCTGTTCAGTGCCAGCTTGGATGGCACGGTGCGCGCGTACGACTTGGTGCGCTACCGCAACTTCCGCACGCTGACCAGCCCAGAGCCGGTGCAGTTCACCAGTCTCGCCGTCGATCCTTCGGGCGAGGTGGTGTGTGCAGGCAGCGCCGACACGTTCGAGATCTACATGTGGAGTGTGCAGACGGGCAAGCTGCTCGATATCCTCTCGGGACACGAAGGGCCCGTCTCTGGGCTGGCTTTCAGCCCGGACGGCAGTGGTGTGCTGGCGAGTGTCAGCTGGGACAAGACGGTGCGCACCTGGGAGGTGTTCCGAACGACGCAGAGCGTCGAGACATTTACGCTCAATTCGGACGGCTTGGCGGTGGCGTTCCGCCCGGACGGCCGCGAGATCTGCGCATCCACGCTGGACGGCTTCCTGGCATTCTTTGACCCGCTCGAGGGCAAGCAGCTGGGCCTGGTCGAGTGCCGACGCGATATCGCTGGAGGGCGCAAGGTCAACGACAAGGTGGCGCGCAAGAACAATGCGAGCGGCGCGTGCTTCACGACGGTATGCTACAGTGCGGACGGTGCTTGCATCCTGGCGGGTGGCAACGCCAACTACATCTGCCTGTACGAGGTGAGGGAGCGGGTGTTGCTCAAGCGGTGGGAGTTGACCAAGAATCTGGCGCTCGATGGCACGCAGGACAAGCTGGACAGTCGACGCGTGACGGCGGCGGGTGCGATCGATCTGGTGGACGACCGCGAAGACGAGGCGGATCTACTGCCGACGGAGCGCGTGGATCAGTCGTTGCCCGGTGCGCAGCGTGGCGATGCGACCAAGAGGACGACTCGAGCGATCTCGAGGGCCAAGTGCGTGCGCTTCAACCCGACGGGTCGATCGTGGGCGGCAGCTTCGACTTCGGGACTGCTGATTTACAGTCTGGACGAGCAGGCGGCGTTTGATCCGCTGGATCTCGACATGGATCTGACGCCGCAGGCGGTGCGCGAGGCATCGCAGCGCGGCGAGCATCTTCTGGCGGTGGTGGGAGCTTGCCGGTTGGGCGAGCGACCGCTGATGGCCGAGGTGTACGAGCGCACGTCGGCGGCGGACATCACGCTGGTTTCGCAGCAGCTGCCGCTGGTGCATCTGCCGACGGTGCTGCGGCTGATCGCGGACCGGCTGCAGCCCAGCAGCGGCAGCCCGCATGTGGAGTTCCACCTGCGCTGGATCGCGGCCATCTTTGCGGTGCGCGGTGCCGAGATCAAGGCCAAGGCGGCCAACGAGTACGCGCCCGTGCTGCGAGCGGTGCAGATCGCACTCAACGAGCTGCGCGCCAACGTGAAGCGCGTCAGCGACGAGAACCTCTACTCGCTCCTTTACGTCTGGAACGGCATCGCAAAGGCCGAGGACAAGGCGGCCAAGAAGGCCAGCCAGGGCGCCGCGAGTCTCGGCGAGCTCATGGAGGTCGAGGCGTTGTAGTATGGCGGTATCAGAAATGGTCAATGTAGACTCGGCAGCTCATCTCAGCATTGCATTGATATCCCATCTATGATTTAGAGAGGAGACGGGTGTCTGGTGTGGTGTGAGCTCTGGCATTGCGTGGAAGGGTGTTGTCGGAGTTGGCCGAGTGCATGTTTTGTATGAGGTGTGCAGATGGATGGCGCCGGACGACGCGCGTCCGCCTGGCCAACTTGGTTATGAGCCCAATGTGATTACCTGCTAGGAAGTAGAGCCCGGAGCCTTAGTGGGAGCCCGGAGCCACGAGTTCGAGCCCGCGAGTGGCCGATGAATCTGTAAGACGCACGGAAACTGATAGCGAACGTTACACGCACAGTCTGCGCTAGGAAGCACGGTAGGCAGGTTGCCGCGCGTCGCCTTTTTCTTTTGCTGCGCTGCTGAGCGAGGGCGGCGGGAAGATGCAGGCGATCTTTCTTCTGGTACGCTCGCCACCGTGCGGCGGAGTGGAAAACGTGCAGCCGGTGAGAAATTTGTTGCGTCTTTTGCACCGCGCGCAAAGGGGAGGCAATTAAGCTCGAGGCCGCGAACCCATGTTGAGCTGCAGACCCTCGAACCCTGGGGTGCTTGGTGCGGAGCGGACCGCCAAACAGGGCAGAATTGCAGGCGAGCGTGTGGACAAAAAAAAAAAGAGCCGATTTTCGCAGCTCTGTCTTGTCGAGGCCGAAATGCCAGAATGCCAGACTCGACGCGAAATCACGGTGGAAAGCGGGCATTCTTGCAGGACCCGTGGGTGCGTTCTGAGTCCGAGTTCCAGCTGCTCTCCGGCAGCGCCCCGCAGCCTCAGCGGCCTCAGCGAGGTGAGTCTCGCGGCTCCCTTCGCCCGGCTCCACTGCCTGGCCTCGCTTGGCTGGCCTCGCAGCGTCTCCAAGCAGCAGCAGCGCATTCGAAAAAGCCTCGTCGGTCGGCGCCTAGACTCCGCCTTTCTGACTCCCTCTCGAACTGATTGAGGATTGCACTTTCATCTTGGAATGCATCTTTCATCATCGCATCCTGACCTCGCCATCCGTCCCTTTCTCGTTTGACTGCACCTGTCCAATCGTCGGTACATCACATCGATAGCGCAATCCACCTGCCCGACTCCGAGCGGAAGAAAGCATTCTAACATCGATCGACCTGAGCAATCATCTCGTCATCTCTACGGTCTATTGCCTGCTTCGTATCGGATCACGCCAAGCAGACGCCATCGACATCCGTGAGCGCTTACCCCACCGAGCGCACAACCACACCCGCTTCAGTTTGAACCGCCTTGCATCGCTGAGGCGGATCTCCAGTGTCTGCTCCTGGAGATCTCGGCCAATCCGGGCGCTTCCCTGCCAACGCCGTTTTTATCTCGCCACCGGGCCACCTTGCGCTTTCGCCATGTCGACCTCGACCAACACAGCCGCCGAGGCCTCGTCCAGAGCGCCGCT